GAAAAAAAAATAAAATACCATCAACTGTTGTACATGGAGCTACTATAGAAATTATTTGGACTTCAATTCCAGCTTTAATTTTATTAATAGTTGCAGTTCCTTCTTTCGCGTTATTATATTCAATGGATGAAGGAGGTTCCTACGCAGGAGCAGCCGACGCCGACACCGACCACTCCGGAGATCCCGACGCAGGAGGTGCCTCCCAGCCCCGAAGTTCCTACGCAGGAGCAGCCAACTCCGACTCCCGAAACACCGGTTCAGAACAACCCCCCTACTCCAGGCAAGGACGTACCCCCTTCCATTCCTGAGACCCCGGCAGTGACTCCTGCTGTGTCAAAGCCTCACACCTCGGACTGCGCTTTTTAAGTTATAAGTCCACATTGACCGGGCCGGATGCTTCGATCTTGCCATAAAGTAAGTTTTCGAATGACAGATTCACTTTGTGTTCTATGGTTTTGATATTTTTGCCGAACTGTAGTATTCTAAACTCTCAAAGTTTTGGATTAATACTTGGTACTACTACTAGTAACTCTGATTGATCTTCTTACTTACGTACAGGTTTGACAAGAAAAAAATTAGAATATAAAAGGACCAAAAGATGATAATCTTGCTTGGCCTCAGTTTTGGTAGATGCTCCTGTGAAATTATATTGAAATGTATTCCTGTATTAGCTTTCTACAGCCATACTAGCAACTTTCGCTAAACCTAGGCATTATTGCATGAGCTGCTGTGCTGTAAGGTGTCTGGAATGACTTTCCGGAAACTTAAGGACAAAACTCGTCAAATTCGATAGTTTAATCAAGTATAATTTTAACTCCATCGTTGGGTGTTTCAACTGTCATATCAGACAGAGACAATTGCGCTTGCCGCGCTCGAATTTTGTCCTTATAATCGAGGTCCTGAGGACAAAATCATTCGAAATTTGACGATCTTGCCCCATTTTGAGGACAAATTGTGTTGGGGCTAAATAACCTAATTGGCTCATCCGCTGCAATGGGTATGGCTCCCAACATTGCTGCTGCTTTTTCAACTAGTCCGATCTATCAAGAAATGTTGCGGACTTATAATGCCTTATCTTCTTCAAGCTACCCACCTCATGATTTTTTTTTTCCTTTGCGTAGCTGCTTTAGAACAGATACGGCAAAGCAATCTGAAAATGGATCGATTCCATGTGGATTATGGTCTCAAACGGTCGATTTGACTGCCGTAGCTCGATTTAACGTCCAGTCTAACTTGATCGATTTGTGCTTTTTAGAGACCTCGATTTAATACTGCGAAGTCTGGGATAGCATTACAACTTAGGAAAAGAACCATATAGATTCCTGACAAACTTCCAGCTAAAAATTATATGTTGACAAAACTTTGATCGCCATCTACTGGTCTAATACACCCCTGCTTTACACGTGTAAAGTAGAATTATGCTCGTTACGTCAGATGTTGATGGCAGCATCTTAGAACATTTCAATTTTTGGAGCTGTGATTTTAATACATGTTAATCTTTGGTTGTTTTTCTGGAGAAATACCGGTACCGGTACTGACAGTGCCATTACCGGCTTCAGACAAATTTCGCCTGCCCAAGAAAGTAAAACGACGCCTTTGCATTTAACTTTTTAGAACTACTACGTAAAATTAACAAGCTAATGAAAAGTAGTACTGCGTAGTATTAATCAAGCATCAAGTAGAGCGAAAGGTAACATTGCATTGAGAATGCACAAATTGACCGTTCATGGTGCACGAGGTAGAGGTCTGGCTGGCTGCGAAGAACAATAGTAAGGGGCCTGCCAGTTTCGTGCACTTTTCCAACGCTCTCCACCCCGGTTTCCTACCAAAAATACCAGCCACTGAGTTACCTAATAAAGTAGTAAATGAGATGAAAGCTGAAGTGTAGCTTGTTGATTTTGGAAAGTCTAGATCCCCAGACATCAAATATTTACTTAGGCAACAGAGATCCTCTTCAAGTTTGGCCCCGAACCGGTTTCGTTCCTCTTTTTCACTTGCTCTTTGAAAGGTGCTCAAATCTGTAAGTCTGTGCTTAATGTCAAGCTTGGAACCGCTGAAGCTGCTTCAGAAATAGCTTGCCTAGAGCCATAGCCGAAGGATAAGACCAGGAATACAAAAGGAAATGAAAGAGGCAGGTATCAAATTGTCTTATCTGTGATCTAGTAACCGGTACCTTTTCAATCTGGTGCCAGCATTTTGCCGTAATAAAAGTTCCAATTTAAGTAATTTTAGAACAAAAATTGCCGCAGTTTATATATATTCACATACATTTAAACTACCTACTTGCGGGTCATGATTCAACGTTTTCTTTAAAGAAAAGTACAATTATAGGTGAATCTTTCTGTTATACTGGGAATACCGAAGAATGAGGCCCAATCGGATTAATTCCACGGTACTGCGTAGCGTAGCCTGGGATAACATTCGTACGACATTCAGCCATTTCTTTAAATGTAAAAAGTAGTCAATTGCCGTCAAGAACCATCCGCATTCGTAGTCAAGAACTGTCATGTGCGTTCTCACTCGAAGTCAGTCCTCATTCGTGCTTTCGTCAGTAACACGTGACAGGAGATATTGGGTTCCAGCGCCGCGTGTACTCGACGAACTTGTCCTGGGGGTGGTGCTCAGAGATCCTGGAGCGGTGAACTAGTCTATTGCCGGGTGTGAGTCATCATTAGGAGTGGGGCTGAGATCTTTGCTTTTCAGCAGGGTGGGTTTCTACTTTCTTTCCTGGTCTGAGCTGTGGTCGGAGATGGCCAAGCGTACTGCATCCGAAGCTTTCACGACATATACCCCACTAACGAGTGAGCAATCGTCAGTATCAAGTGATGCGATATTGCAACGAAAGCGGTGTAAAGCGCAATGTATGCGTGAATACCGCGCAGCTCGCAAGCTTGCTCGAGTTTCTTCATCAGTATCCGAGATGGGGCAGACAAAGCAAATGAGGCAACGGCAAGCTGACAACATGATCGGGCGGATATGAATAAGAAACAAGCTGGAATCGAGATTACAGGTACAAGTGACGAGCCAAATACACGTGGATTGGATATTAGTGATACGGCTAGCTGAATCCATATTGCAGAAGCAGACAATCTCTGAAGAATAAATTTTATTGATGATGAATGGCCAAAGTTTTACAAATGATCCACGATTGGCACTGGTGTACCATTACTGTTGTGGTGGCCAGCCAGATATATTTGTTTTTAATAATGAGCACGTCCGGGAAGATGAATCAGTGAGAGAGAGAGAGACTGGAGAATGCAATGGACGAGCCTCCTGATGCACAAGAATACGAACGTTGTTACGCATCTGCAGCAGCCGTTGACCCGTCACGAGGCAGTATTTTTGCGTGCGCATCGTGTTGCGAATTTTTGATTGGACCAAACAGTAGTCATGTATGTTTACCTCTGTCACTCTTATCCAAGGAGTTTCAAGTATCGGAAGAATATTACGCGAAACGTTACGGGCATCTATCACACGAAGTTGTGAGCAGATATGTGCAGGTGTTTCAACAACCTAGTGGTGAATTTTACAGCTTCCAGTGTTTTTCGTGAGACTTCGCAGCTCCAGTGTTTTTCGTGTGACTTCGCGTTTCGTAGCCTAGTGGTGAGCTTTACAGCTTCCAGTGTTTTTCGTGTGAGTCCTGCAGCTTTCAGGGTATTTCGTGTGACTTCGCGTTTTGTATTTGCTCGGAGCGCATACAAGACCTTGTGCAACACTTTCTTCATGTTCCTCTTCACTCCGCTTCTCCATACTAGCAGCGTGCTCTTTCACCACTTCAGCCGCTGACTCACCCAACCATAGTCCTCTAAGCTGAGGATCATCTGAAATCATTCTAATTATCATTTTCGTGAACTCTTTTTTCGTCATTTTCGCCATAGCAGGATACTTTCCCGTAGTACGCGGCATCGTGCTAGCTCGTTAAAGAATCAATTTTGCCGCTCTCAGTCTTTTCACCTCATCCGTTTCTCTCAATCTTAGAACAAACAAGTCTAGATAGTCATTTCTTTCATTCCTCGATACGCTCTCCCCCTGTGCTAAGTATTCCAAGTCTAAGTCAAGTCCTCGTTTTCTGATGGTAAAACCTAGCCGCACTAGCTTGATAGCATTGCAGCATGCCACGTACTGATGTCTAGCAACTTGACAATAGCAGCTTTGCGAGCCAAAACATTCCATTTGCATCCATATTTCAGCAGTTATCTCGTCGCATTCATGAAGATTTTCTGCTCGTTTCTATCTTTTGCACCAGCGATAGCGTCGAATCGCTTTGGATGTACTGGTGCGAGTGAGTGCGTACTGCTTGATATTCTGCAACATGTTTCACGCACAAACAGACAGTTCAAAATTTAGCAAATAAAAAAACTGAAAACATAGAGTGCTGAAAGGCGACATGCATGTGGGTAGAGGGCACATGCATGTTGTCAAATTTTGACTATCAATGTCATTCTGAAAATATTATGTCAGATTCTACCCAAAGTCACTTTTATCAAGGTTTTTGTGAGTAATTGATCTAATATCAAATTGTTTTGGACTTCATTTATAAAACTAGTATATTGCCAAGCTCAATTATTCATTGAATCGCAGTTTATCTTTCCGACCTCTCAAATACGGCGAGGGTGCTGCAAACGCATGTTCTTACAAACAACATTTCGGTAAGTACCAGAGAATAGATATTTCGATTAGGCCTTACACCTAATACGTGTAATGACGCGGATACGATGGCCAGCCATATCCTATTTTTGGTGTTAGATTATGCCATAATCAACCTAAGCCTACAAATGTTCTGAGATCGCACGAATTAACGACAAATAAAACAAAATTAAAAAAAAATGTTGCGTAAAAAGTCAACATGATTGCACGACTCGTTTTATTTTTCCTTAGCCCCAACAGAATTTGGTCTCAAAATGAGAACCAAATAAGATGCGAGATCGCCAAATTCCGAGTGATTCTGTTCTTAAGACCTCGATTATAAGGCCAAAATTCGAGCGCGGCAGGCGTGGTTGTACCCTTCCTGTGATTGAAGTTGACCCTCCCGCTGTTGCACAACGATTAAAGTGCACTCAGCGCGCTGATAGATGACTTAGGGGTCTGAACGTTTTTCTCTTGGAGTACAATGCCGAGCAAATATTCCTTTTATATGAAGATTAGCTATGAGAAAGTCCCAATTGTACAGGGCGCTTAGGATAGTAGCGGTTCCAATCTATATATACTCACGACCGTTTCTGGTCATTATCATCACCGGGGTCCGGACGGGGACCGATGATGCATGTACATAGCAGGTGAATTAAGTTCAGTTATAAGCCATGTGTAGGGTAGAATAAGCAGTTATCAGTCTGTCTGGTCTTCTGTATTATGATAGGCCAACAAGCCGAGCAGCGCCCCTCGACCATTTCAAGACAAAAGAAGAAGAGCGATAGCGCAGGAGTTTAGGTACAGATCATGGCCGCAGAAGC